CTGGCTTCAATCAATAGGGGAGGAGGACAAGGACAAAAAAACATTGCCTGGCTTTATCGATGGAGGAGGAGGAGGAAAATAGCGCTCCGTGGTCTGTGCCTACCATGGTCGATGTTGATTGATAGGGGAAGAAGAGAAACCACGCTGCTGCACTACCAAATTCACAGAGAATGAAAGGAGAGGAGGAGCAAAGTCGAAGCTGAAGCAAAACAACACGTGTTTTCCCTCAATGTGTGTCTGTCATTTAGCAATTACCAGGGCTTCGAAAGAAAAAAATTTTGAACTGTTTGGTTCCCATTTAACTACGGTCTGAAACAGCTCAACTCCTCACATAGTTTTTTCATATAGATCAAGTTGAAAACCAGACTAGCTAACAGTTGGACCAATTTGATCGTTCAGTCTGATTCAATTTTTAATTTATTGCTTACATCTTGTGAAGCTCAAATCCGATACAATGATGATAAGTTGAGCAAGTTCTTAATTTGAAAAGTTTTTCACAATAACTCATACTTTTGGGCTTGCAAGCTTGAAAGTAATTCTTTATTGAATCTTTAACTTCATAAGTGTTGGGTTAAACATGAGATGTCGTCCAAATAGGTCACAAAACTATTTGGGCTGAGTAAATAAAGAGTTAGGCCTAATCTGAATAAAATGACTGGCCCCGAGCTCAATAGAAGGCCATGATAAAATAAACATACCGAAATCTTGCCAGTTATGAAAATTAGACCATTGGCATATAAAAACATAATTCCAAGTGATTTCGAAATCTATAGACATTATGCCCAAGTATTTCAATGAGACAGGTTAATTACCAAAAGTAGAGAACATTAAGTAAAGATCATGTTATGAGTTTCACAAGAACCCTAATTCTTCGACAAAACGTTCTAAGTTTTAAGGCTCACCAGTCACCACTCTAACATTATAAATAGAAGACAAAACACAGAAGAAAGATAGTCAACATTCAACAAAGATCGCATTCTGCACTTTTAGTTTTTAGTTTTATCAGTTAGTTTTACTTTCAATCTAGGCTTGTAACATTTTCACATTTCAATAAAAAAAAACAACTGTTCTACCAAAGTTTTGTATATCTTTACATCCGAGTAAATTATGGTAAGAAAGCTCAGGACCTTTTTATTATAAATTAAGATTCAATATTTTTGGTACATTCGGTATTTGTTGTTCGCACACAAATAATAAGTAATTCTAATCACCCTTATAACTTGGGCCACGTCATCGTTCTCGATCATAGAAAAAATTTCAAACCTATGTAAAAAAAGGTTGATTGCTTTGTTGAAGGTATTTTCTAGTTGCTTGGTGACTTTAATTTTTTTTTTGATAAAAAAACATCAGCTGTTGTGACTTATTAATCTTTTTTTTAACTGTTCTTTTTATTTTCTTTTAAATTATAGAACTCCTTTTTCTGCTTTGCTAATATATTCATTTCACTTTCTTTTTTCAAAAAAAAAAAAAAACAGACCGGGGTGGCATGGCCTTGCCAACTTGAAAAAAAAAAAAAAAAAAAAGAAAACCCGAATAGTCAATACTATCCGAGAGGGGGAGCGGGGAGAAAAAAGAAAAAGCAAAAAGAAAAGGAGAAAGAGAAAAGCCCTCTGAATGTGAAGAGATGCATTCCGTCCGAGAGCTTCAGTTTTTCGACGGCTAATGGCACCGCATGGTCCCCTCATCGAAGACTCAACGCTGGAGGAGAAGAGATTGTGCGGCGCTCCATAGGTTTGAAACCCGCTGTCAGGAATTTGTTGTTATTGACATCCTTTTCTGGCGGTCATCGTTTAGCTTGAAGCACTGAACCTCAGAATGGTGAGAGCTCCTTCGTCTATCATAAGCTTCATCCGCCATAGCTCTGCTGGTGCTCGCCTGGATCCAGCTGGCCAATTGCGAAATCTCGCCACTGAGAGCAAAGACGGGGATTGTGGTGGGAATTATAGGGACGTCATCCATGAAATTTGTTTGATTACTCGAAGAAGGCCCAGATGGGAGCACACTCTTCTCTCCGAATTCCCTTCTTTAAATTTCTCCGATCCCTGTCTTTTCCAGGCATATTTAAAGCACCAGAATAATGCCTTTCTCTCCCTGCGTTTCTTCAACTGGCTTTGCTCTCATGGTGGTTTCTCGCCCGACCAATCATCTTGTAATGCCCTTTTTGATGTCCTTGTGGACGCTAAGGCATGCAACGCAGCAAAATCCTTACTTGACTGTGCTGGATTTACTCCCGAGCCTTCATCTTTGGAGTGTTACATCCGACGTCTTAGCCGTGGTGGAATGGTCGAGGAGGCAGTTAACATATTTGGGAAGTTGAAAAATGTTGGATTTTGCCCATCCGTTGCAACTTGGAATGCATCTCTATCTGCTTGTTTAAAGGCTGGGAGGACTGATTTAGTTTGGACACTGTATGAACAGATGATGGTTTCCGATGTTATTGCAAACATTGATGTTGAAACTATTGGTTATCTAATTCAAGCCTATTGCGATGATAACAAAGTTTCTGAAGGCTATCAACTTCTTCGACAGATTCTGGAAGATGGGTTGTGCCCTGACAATGTTGTTTTCAACACACTTATATCTGGGTTCTGTAAGGATGAGCAGCATGCCCGAGTATCTGAACTTCTACACATTATGATTGCAAAAGGGCGTAGTCCTGATATCTTTACGTACCAGGAAATCATAAATGGACTATTGAAGGGAAGAAAGAACATTGAAGGTTTCCGGATTTTTAATGATCTCAAGGACAGAGGGTACTTCCCTGATAGGGTCATGTACACAACAATAATTAAAGGCCTTTGTGACATGGGATGGCTTGGAGAGGCCAGGAAGCTGTGGTTTGAGATGATTCGAAAGGGACTTCTTCCAAATGAATATACCTATAGTGTAATGATAAATAAGTATTGTCGAATTGGCGATTTTGATGAGGCCAGAAAGCTCTACAAGGAGATGTGTGATAAAGGTTATGAAGAAACCACAGTAACCTGCAACACAATGATTTCGGGCTTGTGTTTTCATGGAAGGACAGATGAAGCTCAGAGATTGTTTGAAGAAATGTCTCAGAAGGGCATTGTTTGTGATATTATCACATACAACTCTCTCATTAGTGGCCTTTTCAAGAAAGGGAAGCTAGCTGAGGCTAAACAACTATTTAACGAACTCTTGGCAAAGGGCCTAGAGCCGTCAACTTCCTCTATTACCACCCTAATCAAACGACTTTGTGAAGTTGGAGACACCCAGGAGGCAATAAGGTTTTGGAAAGATATGGTTTGCAGAAATTGGGAACCTACGGTCAGTACATATGATTATATTGTAACTGGATTATGTGAACAGGGATATTTTACGGAAGCTATGGAATGGTTGTTAGAGATGCTGAATAGGAAGCTGAAACCACAGAAGCAGACTTTTGAAATCCTGATTCAATGTCTTTTAAAGAAAGATAAGTTAGATAACGTCTTTGTTGTTTTAGATCAAACGCTTACAATAGGATATACACTACAAAAAAACATGATAGAGTCTTTAGTGCGGAAATTTGGCGGGAAAAACTTCAATTTTGCTGAAACATGTTTGGAGAGGATCTTAGACAGAAATTTATAGATCTGGCATTTTTGTGTTATAATCATCTTGAAACTTCCCCCTGTGCATTTGTTTAGTTTATCATGAAATAGTGATTAGTACTGCTGGAAGGAGAAATTGCTTTTGTAATAAGAATTAGACTTCCTTGTAAAAGTTTATTCTGTCCTTTTTTCCTCCCCCATTTTTTTTATTTTTTTCAACGCTTTAATTCTGTGTTCAAAATGCTGAGCAGAGCCCTTGGTCTTGTGTATCATGAGTTCTTTTCTTTTTTCCTATAATAAATCGTTTGTCATAAGCATCTAATTTTTATTTCATGTGTGTTTAAACTAGACCAATCTACTGCTATGCTGGACATAAGTCTGATGTGAATCTAGCAATTTGAGAGTTTTTGAATTTTGGGTTTTCTTTACTTTAGTCCTTTCTTTCTCTGTTTGTTCTTTCTACTTTTTATTAAGTGCTTGGTCCAGTTGGCCAACAGAGCATATGGCCTTGGAAAGTTAGTGAATTTTCAGTTTAGGCAACCATTGATACTAGATTTATTGCCAGGGAAAACAATTGTGCGAATTATGAAAGAGTGTTTGCTTGTTTCTGTGCTATAACTCCATTTACCTTTGAAAAGGTTATGCATTAGAGTTGATCTTTTTCTCATAACATTTTGTTTCTGAGGACCCAATAATTTTATCATGCATGGCAGTTTCTTTGTATGGCACTATTGAGTACTCAATTGAAAAATGACTTGCTAGATTGCTCTGTCGGCCTACTGGATTGGAGGTCCATTTCTACTCTCTCCCTTCATTTGCCTGCAACTTCACGTGCATATTTGGGTGAACATATTGATGAATGAAATATAGGTAGGATTTAGCAATTAGTGTGGTCAATAATATAACTACTTTTTGGTGGCTTCTTGAGATTTGAAGACCAGATATTTCTTGATCGTTTGACAGCGTTAGTCCTTATGAAGTTAAAGAGGCAAATGTGATGAAATTCGTATATTAGCTTCCATGAGGAATGATTACAGTGAGTCTAATCAGTGTAATTAGAGCCGGTAATTTGTGCCGAGCCCGACGGGCCAGTCCGAACCCGCCCGAAAATTTTAGGGTTAAGCCCGAAAAAAATATTATTTTTTTATTGTTAGGCCCGAGGAAATTCGGGCCAAGCCCGATCGGGTTCGGGCTTGGCCCGAATACCCGAATAAAAAAATAATTTTTTAAAAAATATATAAAATATGATAAATATTAATTAATTTTTCAAATTTTATATCATTTTATATCAAAATACTATATATATAAGTGTTTTAATGTAGTTATTTTTTTAAAAAAAATTATTGTTATATTTCATATTTTTATTATTTTTAATCAATAAAATATCTTAAAATAATATTGAAAATATATTTAATATTGATTTTAATATTTTAAGACCCAGTTTTTGTTAAAAAAAATTTTGAGTCCTATAAATCATTTGCATGTAAAAAAATAATTTTATATTTTTTATAAATTAAGAGAATTAATTTTAAAGTAAAAATAAAATTGAAAATAATTTTAAAAATAAAATTTAGGCATGTACGAATTTCTGACTCTACTACTAGATAAACATAATAAATAGAATAATATTCTTGAATAATTACTTGGTTATTGTCCATGCTAGATTTGGTTAAAAATTAAGAGTAAACTAGAGTAAGAATTCCTTTTATATAAGAGTTAAACAATATAAAAAGTTAAAGAAAAATGATTTCAAAAAAAATAATATTTTACTCATAATTAAATAATTTTTTATATAATATAATGATGGCAATTTTTTTATATTCATAAAAATGAAAAGTATAATTTACCTAAAAGTTATTTAAAACTTTGAACTAATCGAAATAATAATTTTAAGTTAGTAGTCTAACTATGATTGAATTGGGATCAGCTTAATCATAATTAAAATAATTTAATTTAATTAAAATATATAAAATATTTATATATGACTATGATAAGAGCAATATTTAAATAATTAAGATATTAATTTACAAGTAAAGGAAACATTCATGAATAAATTATACATAATATAACAAAATAATAACAGAGCTACTTAAATGCAAAGTTGATAAATTATATTTTATTTTATTCTTTTAAAATTAAGATAATATTTTACGATTAATAGAATTATTTAAAAATTAAAATTGGTTCAAAAAATACAGAAAAAATATTTTTAAAAAGTTTTGGGTATCCGGGCCAGCCCGAATAAGCCCGAAGCCCGAAGGTGTTAAGGTCGGGCTTGGCTATATGGGCTTTTTAGAAGGGGTAGGATGCTTTAAGCCCGATCCGAGTAAGCCGGCCTGAATTGAGCCCGACCCGAATAAGCCCGGTCCGCCTGAATTACCGGCTCTAAGTGTAATGTGATACGGGTGCAAATGGACAAAGATAAACAGTAACACGGAGTCCTAGAAGACTATTCAAGAATTGTGGCCTGAACACATATATGTTGGATAATTGGCCATATTAGGTTTATTTGTTGGGCATTAATACTGGGCTGAGAGGACATGTTAACAGTCGTCAGCATCCGAACTGAGATTTTGGGTTATAATTTCCTGATTTTATGGATTGATTTCATTTCATAAGACGTTGATAGTTGTTACCAATTATTTGTGATGAAACTGAAATGGCTGAACTGATATTTGGAATATAACGGGGTTCTTGCAATATGCAGCTGCAGGTAGGGGGCTTCTAGGTCATGTCATACTGGTTCCCTTGATATGAATCATGGCTGGGTTTTAAATTTCATGCTTGTACTTTGGTCAATATGAAAATAATGTAAGATAGGCTGTGCTTGTGATAAGAGCTACTCGAAATAGTAGTTGCTGGGGATTGCAGTAAGGCAGTAAGCTTTGCTTGGTTCTCAGCTCCTCTCTCTCTCCCTCTTTCCCTCCTGTCTTTTTTTTTTTCCTTTTATAATTTTATAGGATCAAAGATCTCCTTATGTTGGCTGTCCGTCAGCAACTAAAAAAACGCAAGAGATAGTTTGACATAATATTTCTCTCTCTTTTCTGTGCCAATGATATAATATTTTTTCTATGCTTTTAAGTAGGAAAAAAAAAAAAAGTCAGTTTTCAAAACCAATTGGAATTGGATTTAGTTGAAGCTAGTTTCTTACAACTTGATGGATCAATGTCTGAATTTTTATGGAGAAAGGTGCTTACATTTAATCTTTGACTACTTTAAATAGAATTATCTTCATGAAGAGGATATATACCAGCAATAAAAAAATCATAAGCGAAGCACATTTTTTTCAGCTTCCAATGAAATGATTTATAATAAAAATCTCTTTAAAGCATATGACACTGAACAAAGTAGGTCATTTGTCATCATAGTTGGGCAGTAGCTACATGGAGAATTAATTATTTGCCATTTGTTGTCTGAAGCTAAGAGCGAAAGCCAATGCGATGAATGCGGATCGGCATTGTTAATTTAAAGATTGAAAAATAATGTTTGATAGACAACCTCGCAACAAGTCACTTGCAAAGTAAGAACCAAATCAATCAAGGTATTAACTTAAGAGTTAAAATTAAAATCACAATCAAACAGTGATTAAATTGATCATAAATAAAGTATTTTATTAAACAATTGAAACATTGATTTAATAATTTATTAGCTTAATCGGATGAGTTTACTTAAATTTATATGCCATACTTATGAGTAGATGGGTTCTTAGTGGGAGATTTTGAAATTTGATCCGCAAATCTAATAGGGAGAATTTTATATTAGGACCATGGTTGTAACTAAGTGAAAAATCAAGACTAAATAAATATGAAAATATGATGCACACTATTGGGATTCAAATGAAAATAATTTCACAAGCAAAATGACTAAAGTACCCTTAACAGAAATGAATAAAAAATATGGATTATTGCTTAGCATAACTTGTTAAATGCATAATATGATTTGTTAAATCTCTTACACTATTTGTTATAAACATGTAAAGAATTTTACAAGTTAAGTTAATAATTTAACATTTCATGTTAAATCCCTCATGCCAAGTAATATAATAGATTTTACAAGTTAAGTTAATAATTTAACAAGTTATAATGAATCTAAAACAAGTTAGATAATTAACAAATAATATAATGAACTTATTACGTAACACGAAGGAATTAACAAGTAGCATACCATTTTTAATAAGTACAAGTTAAGATGGTAAAAAAAACAAAGCCAAGTAGTTTTAACAATTTCCAAATTTAACGAAGTTTGATAAATTTACTTGGTCCTCCATATCTAATATATAAAATAAAATTAATTGAAAAGAGTTTATTTACTGTATTTAGAATTTTAAGAAAAATCAATCTGATATTGACAAACTTATTTTCACCTAAAAATTACCAAGGTCATAGCATAATGCATATTATATTCTTGTTGCATACTGCAATTAAATATTATTCCTCTAATATTATTTATAAGTCACTTTTAACGTATTTTATCATAATAAAAAAAAGCTTTAAAATTCATTAATTATGTTTTAAAATTTAATAAATTTTTACACTATCTTTATTAAATATACATACTTTAATAACTTATGTTTATAACATTTAATTGAGAGTAAAAGTAAAAATTTGTATTGAAAATTTAATAAGATAATTTATAAAAGGAACAAAAAAAGTTCTGTCTTCACCAGTTTACCCTATAAAATAAGATTTTTGAGTGAATTCCTTTGCTTTTTCTTTTTATTGAATTTTATTTTCATACTCACAGAAGTATTCCTTGTCTTTACGGACTGTTGCCGTCTTACCTCCCTCCCTCCTCAAATGTTTTTGACTTTTTGTTTACTTCGTCTCCCATTGCAAGAGTTGACCTAAATTAGTGAATTTTATAACTTAAACAGACCGAATAAACACATATTATAATTTACATTTGGTTATGGAATATATACTAGTGATAAGCTATAATTTACTTTGCATCTGTTTTCAGAAGTTATATTTAATTAATTTTGATTAATTTAAATAAGTTTTTTTTGTCAAAGATTAATTTAAATAAGATTGTGTCTCCTTCAAAAAAAGAAAAAAAGATTTGATTCAACATGAGCATGACCCACCATAAAACTTGGAGTTGATGACTTTTGATGCCATATATCAATGCAGTATATCCGCTGGCTCTAATTTTATCAGTATTTCAAAGTATTTTTTTTATTTCAGGCTACTTTTTTTTTTCTTTTTGTCAAGGCTCCTTTTCAGTGCACACATATAGTGATAGGAAATCAGGCGAGTGCGGCCTGATCTTTATTCAGAGAATTTTTGAAAACAATAAAAATAATTTAATATTATATTATATTTTAATAAAATATTATAAAATTTAACATAAAATAAATTAATGTTTCACATCAAACCAATATTTAAAAATTTAAATTTAAAATAAAAATTAAAATCTTCATTAATTTAAATTATCCTCGTCATTATCTAAAAATAGAATATTAAATCCTTTAAATGTAGGTCTATTAGTTAAAGATGGAGATAAAGATTTAATATCAATTATCTCTATAATTTTTTCATCATCACCCACGTTAAATATTAATTAAATTGTCATTGTCAAATACTCCCTCTGTTTTTATACAGAAGAGAAAGAAAATATATCACACAGTTTTAAAAAGTTCGTTAATTATAATAATTATATTTAAAAAAAAAAATTGAACTAAAATATCTTATATTAATTAACATAAACGTGCATTAATTATTTCTCGTTGATGTAAATTATAAGGTGTGATTTAAAAATTATATAATAAATATTTATTAAAATAAGTGATTTTATTTATATAAAAAAAATAAAAAATAATACTTTAAATAGATGGAGCACACACACATCAGGAGACAAAATATAAAAACTACCATAAAATAATACCAAACAATTTAACCACATGTACAAAATTTTGTAAATAATGTAAAAAGAGGCGAGCATGATACTTTATCAAAACACAGCAACCTATATTAAATGCTTATTCACTAGCTATTATTATGATTGAAATATTTAAAATATTATATGCAATGTTTGAAAGATTGAAAAATTATTGTTGACTAGTCTTTCACTAATATAACACATTTAATTTTAAAAATTAATGATTATTAAAAATTTTTTTTTAAAATAATAATCTAATTCAAATTTTTTAATAAAAGAAACATTTTTATTTTTAAATCAAGAAAATTCTACATTTAAAAAAAGGCCTAAACTAATCATATTGTAAGTTTTTATTTTTAAAAAAGTTGTAAGAAGGTTCAAGAGATAGTCCAAGCCTTACAACTTATCAGCGGGCCTGAAATTCTGTTACTATAAAAATCACTTATTTTTTAAAACTTAAATCTTTATTTAAATAAAATTTTTAAATTTGGCTCTTTTTTTTTACTTTACACACACATTAAAGAAATAGTATGGCAAAAAAACTATGGTAAATGTCACATCAAATCAAAAAATTAATTAAAACAAAATGAGGTGAAAATAAGTTGAGGCGGCAAGGACAAGGTCAAGGTCAAGAGATGCATCGGAATTAATGGAGGAGGGGTGAAGCTCAATCTCATAGGGATTGAGAGAGGGATGAGAGAGGGGAGAGGATGCAGGGATACACGAGCGTGAGCAGCAAGGTCGATTACGACCTCGAGTCAGGGGAGGTTCTGTACCCGGGTCTCAGCCCCGCCGAGAACCAGCTTCGTTGGGGCTTCATCCGCAAGGTCTATGGCATCCTTTCTTTTCAGCTTCTTCTCACCACCCTCGTTTCCTTTGTCACCGTCTTGTATACTCCCATCAACGATCTTCTCAGGGGCAACTCCGGACTTCTCCTCTTCGTCATCTTCCTCCCCTTTCTCTGTACGTTCCCTTCCGGATCTGCTTTCTTTCTCTTTCTGTTTTTCATTTCCTTTTTGTTTACCTGTATTTCTGGTTATGTCTAGGGTTTCTCGTTTTTCCTTGTCTGCTCTGGATCTTTTTCCCTCCTTCCTGATCTGCCAATAGTTTCTAAGTCCCCCCCCAAGTTTTATCTGGGGTATTCTGTAAAAAGATTGTTCCATTTTTCCTATTTTTGTCTCGGATTTCCCCCTCTTTCCATGTCCTCTTATTTTCTTTCTGATCTAGCAATATTTTCTGATGTGTTGATGAGTTTGGATGATTTCTCTTTGATTCAATTCATATCTGTGTTGGTATGTCGTGCATCTGTGAATATAACTGTGCATTGCGATCGAATTGTCAATGATGCTTATTCTTGTCTTTCTCGCTGCCGTTTCTTTGCTACTTTGGAAATTACGAGCATAAAGGTTTTTCTTTCCGCTTCATGTTTACACGCGCTAAATTCTTCTCGAGATCACTCAATTTGCGTGCCTTAATTGTAATTTGACTTGTTGATGGCATTTCTTATCACTCCTCTTATTAGATTGTCATGAGGTGCCATTGAGTCATGCATTCTTTCAGGAAGATATATTTTTGTTCTCTGCTATTGTACTGTTGTCCTCTGAATTTTTTGATGTTATAATATGCAAAGAATTTTGCATAAAAGGATATCTATCCTTCATATATTTATTGGTTCAAATTTCTTGAATTTATGTAAATTCATTACCTTGAGTCTTTGTTAGGTAATTGCTGTACGTTTACTCTTCTAATTGAGCTAATATGTTTACACCTACAAATGAATCTGAATTCTTTTGCAGTCTTGCTTCCTTTACTCAAATACCAGCAAAAGCATCCTCATAACTACATCCTTCTTGGACTTTTCACCGTGTCTATAAGCTTGACTGTTGGAATAACCTGCGCAAACACTAGTGGTTGGTATCATTTTCCTCAATTTTCTGATATTATGATCCCCCAGTGTCCAGTGACATTCTAAATTTATGTTTCCTGTCGGACGCTAAACTTGTTTCTGATTATATCTTGGTGGACTGCCTTCAGGAAAAATTGTCCTTGAAGCATTGATTTTGACCTCGGCTGTAGTTTCCTCTCTAACTGGATATACCTTCTGGGCTTCAAAGAAGGGCAAGGATTTCAGCTACCTTGGTCCTATATTGTTCGCCTGTCTCTTTACCCTCTTCCTTACTAGCATGATGCAGGTTTGATATTCTTTCGCTTCATGATAGCTATTCATTTTGAACCAGACTTCTTGAGTACAATTTTTAAGATTTATGCACTTTAAGGTTAAAGATGTTGTACAGTTCTGTCACGACCGCTGCACTCTGGCCATTTACATATAAAGAATGCTAGCTATGTTGGTTTTGACATGAGACTTAATGTCTTCCTGTGTAGATGTTCTTCCCTCTTGGACCAACAGCAAATGCTATTTATGGTGGAATCGGTGCCATGATTTTCAGTGGGTACATTGTCTATGATACTGACAACCTGATCAAGCGTTTTACTTATGATGAGTACATTGGGGCCTCAGTCACTCTTTATCTTGACATTCTGAACCTCTTCCTTACCATCATGAGGATGCTGAGGGAGGGGAACAATTAGAAATTAGTCATTCTGTAAAATGGGTTTTTATTGATTAAAATAAATGAAATACTACTTTCTTGGTTGGATGTGTATTATATTCACGAGGGAAACATTATGAAGATGTTCCATGCCTTCTCTAGTATTCCTTTGCAGCTGACAAATGCTTTAATAGCTTGTAAAATTTCAAGTTTACAGTTGCCTCGGGTAAATTGTGACATATTTTGCATGTGATTTTGAGGCCCCCTCTTGCAGGTTGAATTATTTAGCTAAATAAAAAAAAATAACTTTATGTGGCCCACAACATCAATTTAGCTCATTTAATATTTTATGGCATGCATTACTACCATAAAAGACATTTTGTCAGATGGTGAATTCTACATCTGTGTGGGTGGATTATCGCTCTTATCCTTTTGTCGTCACCAATCAACATGAAGATTGCACGATCCTTGATTTTATGCATGAGTTTGAGGGCCCATTTGGTTATTGAGATGAAATGAAAAGAGGAACGTGTTGATAGTGAATGAGATAGATTAAAATAGGGCTGTGTTGATAGAGAGATGAAAATTTTAGAGATGTGAAAGTTTTGGAATAATGGTAAGGTGGGAATGAGAATTGATGATTTCATTCATGACAATTCTTATTCCCATCTCTGTATCATTTGATAGTTTTAATTTTTCTATTTTCTTAATTTTTTAGTTTGTTTTGTTTTTGTATAAATTATTTCATTTCATTTCTCTCTAATAACCAAATAGGTTTTAAGTAAATAAATGGCATCTTTTATGAAAGACATTTCTCAAGCAGAATTAAAATTAAATGTAACAAGTAGTTGACTGAAGTCCCAGCAAGTTTATTGTTTCAAATTATCAAATATTTAGTTGGCTATATGCAAGATAATTGCCATATAAAAGAAAAAAAGTTAAACTATTTTTTATTTCTTGATTTTGTTTTAAATATTTATCTTTGCCTTTTACAATGACTATGTTCTACCCTGGTCAGTCAAAATGTCCCAAAACAATGGCGGGTTGGTTATGTTAATGGCCGTAATAGGCTTGTTTTAAGTATATCTAGACATACCTTACTAACCAAGAGGGCATTTGGTCTAGTGGTATGATTCTCGCTTTGGGTGCGAGAGGTCCCGAGTTCGATTCTCGGAATGCCCCCGCCACTGCTAGTGTTGTATTTTTTGCCATAAGACAAATGGCGTTGCATAAGCAAACATCTATTTTGTAGGTCCCGTGAATAGATCACGCATTCCATAATCAAATCGAAACGAAGAGAAAGTACAAAAACATACAAATCAAATTTTCACCCATAAATGAAATAAAAACAGAGATAAAAACGCAAGAGAATCACAAAATACAAAGCCCAGAAGCATCGATTTGAGGTGTTTGAAAGAGAAATGAAGTTGGTGATGAAAGCGAAGCTCAGTATGCGGCACTTGGAGACTCTGAAACCCCAACGTGGATAACACCAGTGCATAACATTTGAGTCGCAGTTACAATTATTGTGAATATCTCTAACGTGCGCTGCAAAAGCAAACATAACAATCGCAGCGAAAGAATCAAAGAATGATTATACTGGAAATTACATATTATACATTTTGTTTAAGCCAGACTTGAAGCAACTTACCAGATTTGAGTGTGTCCAACCAAGCTCAATCTCTTTGCATGCAAATCTGTACCAAGATAAAACATCAATACCCATGTGAATTTGTGAATCATACACGCTTAAAAAAGACACTAAAACAACAATGAAAAATGAAAAAGCAACATCAAAACACAAGACTCACCCCATGGCTAGTACAGTGAATGCCCAAGTTGTGAAAGAAGAAACAGCTGCTGCATTCAAGTTTGGGGCATTCCATTGAGAAAGGTTGTGTAGTCCAGTAAGTGAGGTGGTGATGCCCACGACCCCAGCTGTGAGACTGAATAATATGAAGAACCCTGTCGCCATATTCCCTATTGGAAAGTATATTGGGAATATTCGAGCTGGAATCGGCAACCTAGATGCTGAGAATCCATACACATACAGTGTTGACATTACATTCCAAAATATGACATGTCTGCCATATGCTATACATGACATCCTAGATTTTTTCAAGGATAGATGTAACAATCTTAGACACTGTTATGGTATTTCACAAAATTTAACAATCAAGAAGAAATACATCGTGAAAGTTTTACTATTCTTCAGTTTGAATCTTAACAGTGTACGTTTGCGGTTGTGCAGTAATAGAGAGAGAAACAGAGAGAGAGAGAGAGAGAGAGAGAGAAACACCCCTACCTGTTTCACGAGAATGTTCAATCCCATGATTCACTGCCCACGAAGCAATTACAGTAATAACCACATACAGCACTAAATTTAGTACTAAGAGGATGCTGGCTACGGATTTGGATCCTCCTGAAGCCATGGTGTTAGAAGCTCAAAAACAAAACCTGAAATGATGATCCTTCTCGAGCCACGATGTATCCTCATATAAGCAAAGCAGTATTCTTCTCATTGTTTTACCAGGAAATATAATATACAAAGTTAATCCACCCACAGGGCTCTTCGTTGCTGTCAACATTGAAATGATTTTCTTCGATAGAAAGAAACGGCTTATATTCCTTTCCACGCACATTTAGCCTTCCTCTAGAAGGAGGGAACGAATCTTCCTTACATCCTGTTTTATCTTCTTTTATATTCTATAATAATATTCAGGCCACTGCTTTTTCTGGGATCATTCCATCTTCAATTGCACAGCAACAACAATAAAAATTCTTATCCTATTAGGTGGTGCTGGTGTTAGTTATATAGATTGCACGATACCATTATACTCTTTCATCAACTAAGCTTTTAGAAATATTATTAACTGAGAGGTCTTGTTCAACAATTTCTATCTTTAATTGGAGATCAAACCAAAAAGAAAAGGGGCTAATTACATGGCTGTTGATCGATGAGATCCTAGACTTGAGCACAAGCATCATAAAAATTTAACCAGAACCAGTACAACCAAGGAGATTTCTGGTCCATATGGGTTTTATCTGACAAACTCAATAACTAGAATTGCAGCTCCTCAATTCTTAACTTCTGTCTAGACAAGATCCATTCTAGAGTCTGAATTGTCTAAAATGGAAGTGGAAGAGCTTTCCAGCACCCACCAAAAGTTTATCCCAAGTGGCTCTCGGTTCCATCCAGAATATCACCAGCCAACAAATTAGACCTTCAATGCCAACTTCTGAACTGCAAGAGCTTCAGCCTCCAGTGTTGGCTCCCACAATAATGTAGTTTCTGCCAGCAATGAGGTCACAATGTATGGATCCATGTTTGAAGCCGGACGCCGGTCTTCCAAGTAACCTGCAACCCAAAGTACAGACAAGGTAAACCAATAAAATAGAGAGCTAACTTGAACAATTTAGCGAAAACAAAATGCTTATTTGTAAATGACAGAATATAAATCATTGAAAATAAGTCCATGGTGACAAGGCAAGACAGTGTCAGTCCACAAGTGTTCAAAGTGAGCTTGTCTAGAAGAGAAATCATGTAGTTAAAGCTTCTAATTGAACTTAGTCTATAGTTATCTGAGTTTTTTTATTATAAATAAAAAAATGAGCCTATATGGTTCTTTCTATTGTTCAAGAAGACCTGAGCATAGCTACCACAAAGCTTAGTTGATAATGTTACCTTTCCATTCTTCTCCGTGTCTCTACCCACACGTATAGAGCAACCACGATTAGCCACTCCCTGCAAGTTTTATTTTATGAAAATATTTTAAATAAGGTTGAGTTGTTGCTTTTTTTAAATGGTTAGTCTTGGCACCAGTAAAGGTATTGATATTGTCAAGCATACCCAAGAAAATGTGTTAATGTTGGCTGTCTCATGCTTTCCTGTTAACCTTCTCTCATTCCCTTCTCCATATGCACTTATGTGTTCCTGGTGGCGAAGTGAGAGGTTTAAAATTGCCTTCTTTATTACGTCGTACCCTCCATCTTCCCTCATGCTCTTGGTACTGCAAAGTCAATGACAGGTTAACAGTTCAGTAATTAATGAAGTTACTAAGACATGTGATATTGTGATCAATGGCAAAGTCCCGAAACCTGAAATTAGTGTGGCATCCAGCACCATTCCAGTCACCCTGTAACGGGGAAAAAAAACTTGAGATAACTATCAATGAAGGACACTGACTTTCATTTGTGCATCACAGTACCTCAATTGGTTTTGGATCAAGTGAGAGAACAACACCAGCTTGCTCAGTAATTCTCTGTCAGAAAAGGAAAAAAAAAGTGACATACTTGATAGAAATAAACAAAACTGGGGAAAGTGACAATAAAAACAAAACACAATATGTTGTGATATCAAAATGGAAGACTGACACTGTCATGATCTTACAAATTTCTCTATTAAATGGTCCATAGGTCTTTATATGTATAGCTAGGCTTAGGTAGAATATTTACCTCAAGGATGTACCTTGAACACCAGATATGATCTCCAGCTTCAATACCTACACTAGGACCAACTTGATACTCCCACTGCAATTGCAATGAAAGAAATTGTGAGAAAAACTAAGTTGATAGATAGATCAACCATCCCTAAAAGAAAGGTAATGGTGAGAAGAGAACCTGCCCAGGCATAACTTCCCCATTGGTTCCACTGATGTTGATTCCAGCATATAAGCAAGCCTTGTAATGAGCATCTGATATATCACGGCCAAAAGACTTGTCGGCCCCAGCACTGCAGTAATAAGGACCCTAATACATGAAAATATACTTAAATTCATCTTGCAATATCACAAATTCTTGGAACATGTGAATGATAGTCGACAGGTGAATACAACAATTGACATTACCTGAGGACCAGGATAAGCTCCAACTGGCCAACCCAAAGGCCATTTCACATTTGTTTGAAGTAAGGTGTACTCTTGTTCTATTCCATACCTTAGAACAAACAACATAGAAATTAGCATGTGTTCTGTTTTAAGGTCATGATTCAAAATCAATAGTTCAGTTGTCATAGATTCTGATAGGTGATACAAAGAAGGAGGATACTTTTCATGTCTAAATATCAGCAATCACCACCAGACAAGAAATACTAGATATATCAGGATATTTGTTGGCAATTTCAATCTTTATGATCATACTAAAATGGTGATTTTTCTGAGAAATTGTCTCTAGATTTGTGTAAGCTAGAGTGCAATACCGAGTAGCAGTTACTTAACCTCAAAAGTAATTAGGAACTTTCATAGAGAATATTAAAGTAGAAGTTTTTTCCCGTGATATTAAAAAAAATTAAGAGAATGTATACCATGGAACTTCGGCTACGACCTTTGGGTTACTAAAGATTTCAGCAGCTCTGTGACGTTTGTTTGTGGGGATAGGCTCACCAGCTGGTGTGTAAGAATCACAAATCACCTTTGCAAAGGCAATAAATTACAAATTAGCTTCATCATGTCTGCGTCTCAACTTCAATCAACATGCCATCAGATGTATTTTGAATATCACAGCTCTTACCAAAATGTTGTTTCCACCACGGAAGGGATCTCTAAAAATTGCCTGAGGACTTAAACAAAGGAAGAAATTTAAAATCAACCAGTAATAAATAATTGCGCATAAGGTAACATCAAAAGGGGCACAAGTTATCAAACTTCTTACTATAGGATTACTTCACTGTCTTCACCTGGTGCTTGTCCGGTGCTAGATCCATCATAGTTCCACTTAGGGAGCTCAGAGGGGTGATCAACAGGCCTTGTTATTGTCTGAAATTTTAAAAATATAATATACTCTAACAGACAATCAAATAACATCTTCTCCAAGCCTGTTTACAATTCCGAAATAACATACCCTTGATTTGCTGCGCACATCAATTCCTGTCCCTCCAACCCTATTTGAAAATGATATACATAGTTGTGCTCATTAAGAAAAAGGATAAAGAAAATATCATATGATAGTTGAACCCTGTGAAAAGGTTTTATGACTAGTACAACTATTTTTTCAAAGATTTAAATCCAGGCACCTGCATAAGAGAGCAGGAGTGACAGAGAGATAAAGAGAAGACAGAGAGTGGTATAAATACCAAATGTACTCAGCTATTATCTTATCAATGTATGGAGTGACGTCCATATTAAGTAGCTTCTCTATCCTGTTGACGACACCGCTTTCAGATTTGATAGTCAGAGCTCTGAACTTAGCAGAGCTGGCAGGTGCACCTTTCTTATCATGTCTCAACAGTAAAGAACCCCACATGTTTGATGTAATGGGACTTGCTTTGTGAGAGCTTTTAGTGATCTTCATCTGCCATTGTGTAGACGGTGCCAGAATCTGTGCCATGTTTGCTTCTCACTGAAGATGGTACCAAAAAGAGAAGTCAATTTTGATTACACAAGACAATGCCGTAATCAGAATCAAGCACATGAATCATGCAGCACGTTCTACAGTATCATTATGATCTTGACCTTAATGTTCATCATACTCAACAGCACACATGCTCTTCAACCCGAAAATCCTTTTTTAACTGAAGATAAGGAAATGGTTCTGCAATCGGCAAGGATTTATATATAAAACACACGTTTATTCGCAATGAGACTCTGTCAAGTATGACGAAGTTACCCAGATTCAAGAAAGTAGCCAGCAAAACCCAGAACCAAAAGAAAAATGCTCTTAAACGATTCGTCATGAGAGAGAGAGAGAGAGAGAGAGAGAGAGAGAGAGAACGCTTTAAGTACAAAATGGCAGAAGGAAATCACCTGAAGAAGGACCAAGACCGGAGCTTCTTCGACAGGAATGTGGCCCTGTGTCGGAGTGTGTCAGAGACAGAGGGTGGTGGGAAAGACTAAGTGGTGGGAAATGGAATGATCTCTTGGCTTTTCCAAAACAGATAGGGATGCACTATGAGTGGGCGAAAATAGTTTTCGCTGCTTTAATGGCTGCCAAGAAGCCTAGGCTCGTAACATGTGTTTCTTTAGATATACAGTGGATAAGGTTCATTAACATCTGCCCTGATTATATCACGAACATTACTCAAAATTTTCAAGCGTAATGACAGGTTTTTTCTTTGGATCTCGAGAAACTATGAGGACACAAACTCGTGCTTTGTCATTTCTCTACAGATCTAAATTAGTGTTGCTGGTACAGTCCAAAAAGCTATGTTACTCTCAGTTTCACATTCAAAGAGTGAAATTTTATTTTTAAAATGTTAAAATTACTTGAATAAAATATTTTACAGTAAACTATATTTTGAAAGCATCTAGTAACTGAAAATAAATGAAAAAGCACAACTATTTAAAATTTTTAAAAAATAAATTTAAAAAGTAAAATATTATTTGACCATATTATCTCAAGCTTAATCTCTCATTCTTTTATTTAAAAAATAGTTAATTCATTAAAATATAATTATCATTTCAATAATAATAATTAGGTATTAAGTTTTTAGAATTATAAATTGAATAATTAATCATGTTGTTTTTTAGCATTATTGTATAATAAAAATTACAAATATTTATCACATTTTTCAAAATTACAAATTAAAAAAGTATAAATAACTAGATATTAAGTTTTTAGCATTATAGATCAAATTTTATATTATTTAAAATATTTATCATATTTTTTAAATATTTCAAATATATTACATTTGTATAATAAAAATTATAAATCATCATGAATCAATGTCCTTTTTGATAATTGTACATTTAAAAGTGCATTTCACTATCATAATTCAAACAACTTTCAGTG